CTAATGCAAGTTGTCGTTGATTTGCTGCCAAACATGCAATATAAAAGGGCAATTCCAATCTTGAAAGAGACACAGCTGTGTAGTGAGCACTGGATGGAAAATGGATTAAAAATAGTAACTGATAGGGCAATTGCGAGAGGGAACATTTTAGATCGGAAAGAAGTTCCAAGTAAATAAGTCACATGCTGGTCTTCAGATTGTTTCTTTATTTTTAAATATACATTTGGATAAGGTTGTTGTAAGTTATTATTATTTATTATTAAGTTAAATCCGCAAGTATGCAGAGGATTCCAAAATTGGAAGTACAGGACTGAATGAAGATCTTTTATGTTGGCTGTGCCAAAATTGGCAGATGCAGCTCAATGTGGTTAAGTGTAAAATAATTAGTGTGAGAGCAAAGAACCAAAAAGTTCAGGTGTTAATGGAACATTTGTACATCTGATAATCAGGAATGTATTCCAGGAGATACAACAGATAAGTCTACTAAACATTCAGCCCAGAGCTTATTGATGGCACATTAACACTTCAGTGGCATTGTTGAGTATAAAGGTGTCTGTTGATCATTGTCTTTACAAAGAGTGCATCAGCCTTTCACTTGCTGTAGAACAATGATGTGGACTAAACAGAAACCTGGAATTAACATTATCTGCTCCATATAATAATGTACTTAAATGTACTTTATTGTCCACAGGAAAGGGCAGATGTGGCTTTCGCTTAATGTCTCACCCAGAGAATGGCACTCCCAATAGTGCAACCACTCCCTTCCACCTCCCCCCCCTCCCTCCCCCAACACACACACATTGGAGTGTACATTTAGACTAAATGAATTCAAAATCCCGACGTGAGGTTTGAACCTCTTCTGACTCAGTGGCAAGAGTGATACCAACTGAGTCAGGCTGACAAGATCTCCCCACAGCCCCAGATAAGAGCAAATCAGAATGGGATTATAAATTCACTTCACCTCTTCAAATTGATCAACTGTTGAAAACAATACCCATAATACTAAAGGGACATTAGTGTTTCAGATAGGAGCTGGTTTCACTTTAATCAGAGATTTTGCAAAGAGACCTGGTATTTCGGATCTCCCTTACACTTGGAGCTGAGGTATTGGAAATCTTCCCACATGATGTTCAAATGTGTTTGCCTATAGAATACACAGTCACTACACTTTACAGTGAATCCTACCTATCAAGTGTTTTGAGATGTCCTCCGAACAATGAAAAGTACTATATCAAATGTAAGGATCATTATTATTTATTATAAATGACTTAAAACTATTTAAGTGGTTGTATTTCATTACATCGAGGCTCGACTATGAAAACTTCTTGCTTGTCGGCCTCCCCAACTCCTCCCTCCACAGGCTGCAGATGATCCAAAACTCTGCAGCCCGCATCCTCTCCCGTGCTAGGTTCTGTGACCCTATCACCCCCATCCTTGCCCAACTCCACTGGCTTCCCATCACACAGAGGATACAGTTCAAGATCCTAGTCCTCACTGTCAAAGACCTCCACGGTTTTGCTCTCCCCTACCTCTCCGACCTCCTAAACCCCTACCACCCTGTTCGCTTCCTCCGCTCAGCAGACTCCGGCCTGCTTTACGTCCCAGGCCTTGCTCGGCCCACTATTGGTGGGCGAGCCTTCCGCCACTCTGCCCCTACCCTCTGGAACTCCTTCCCACAGTCCCTCCACCTCGACCCCTCCCTCGCCACCTTCAAGATCCATCTCAAGACCCTCCTCTTTGATAGTGCTTTCGATCTCCCTGTTTCCCACCCTGCCCTGAACGCCTCCTCATTCTTGATGATTTCAATCTTCATTTCACCCCCTCCTGCTCTACCTCTGCTGACGTTTCCTCCCTTATCTCCTCCCTCAATCTCTCCCTCCACATCCATTCTGCCACCCAAGTCCGCTGTCACCACCTTGACCTGGTAATCACTCGGGGCCTCACTGTCTCGGACTTCACCATCATCGACAAAGCGATCTTGGACCATCATTTTATCTCCCTTAATTCCTCAATCACTCTCCCCACCGCCACCCAACCCACCTCCATCTCATACCGCCCCTGGAAAAAAATCTCCCCCCACCTCCCTTTCGGCTGCCTTGGGATCATCTGAACTCCTTCCTCTCTGGACATCCTCCCACAATGACCTATCCTTCTTGATTACCCTTCTCCACAGCTCTCTTTCCTCCACCCTCGATTCCCCTCGCTACCCTCTCTTCCCGAACCGTCTCCTACTCATGCAAATCACCCTGATACACCAGCCACCTCCTTAAAGCCCAGGTGCGTTCCGCTGAGCACACCTGGCCTAAATCAAACCGAACTGTCCACTGTCAGATTTGGCTGGACGTTGTCAAATCCTACCACTCCGCACTCGCCTCCGCTATATCGTTGTTCCTCTTCTCCATCACGAACCGACTCCTCCGCTCACTCTCTCACGCCTCACCCATCCTTACCTCAAATGCCAACTGTGAGACGATGCTGGACTTCCTCGAATCCAAAGTCGAGGGAATCTGCTCAGCTGCCTCTGCCACTCCAACTGCTACCCCCTCCCCATCTCCTCCTCCAACCCCAGCCCATACCCACCCCTCCCTCCACACCTTTGAACCCATCCCTCCCTCCTCTCTCATCACCACCATAACTCGTATGAAACCCACCACCTGCTCCCTCAACCCCATCTTCACCCCCCACCTTACCGCCCAGCTCCAACTCCTTGCGCCTCTACTCACTGACATCGTTAACTTCTCCCTGACCTCTGGTACTGTTCCCACCCCTTTAAATAACGCTGTCATCATTCCAATCTTTAAATAAAAAACCCTGGACCCTTCTCTACTTCCTAACTACCATCCAATCTCCAACCTCTCCTTCCTCTCCAAGGTCCTGGAATGAGTTGTTGCTTCTCAGCTTCGGTCCTTTCTCTCCCACCACTCCCTTCTCGAACCTCTCCAATTGGGTTTCCGTGCTGCCCACAGCACAGAAACCGCCCTGGTCAAAGTAACAAATGACATTCTGTCCATCTGCGACCAGGGTTCCCTCTGCCTTCTTGATCTCCTTGACCTCTCTGCTACTTTCGACACCGTCGACCACTCTATCCTCATCCACCACCTTTCTTCTCACGTCAACCTCCACAGTGCTGTCCTTGATTGGTTCAGATCGTACCTCTCACACCACCTGCACTTCATCTCCTCAAACGGTTTCTCCTCTAGCCCCCGCACCGTCTTGTGCGGCGTTCCTCAGGGCTCTGTCCTTGGTCCCCTCCTCTTCAACATATATATGCGCCGTCTTGGTGACATCATCCACAGACATGGGGTAAACTTCCTCATGTATGCGAATGACACCCAACTCTACCTCTCTGCCTCCACCCTTGACTCCAGGACCACTGCTGTCCTGACAGAATGTCTGTCAGACATCAAGTCCTGGATGAGAGCAAACTTTCTTCAGTTGAACATCAACAAGACCGAGGCTCTCCTGATTGGCTCCCATCCATGGTAATACACACTCATCCTTGCTAAGCCAGTCCGGAACCTTGGGGTCTTGTTTGACCCTCAACTATCCTTTCTACTCTACATCTGCTCCATGACCTGCTCTGCCTTCCCCCACTTCTGCAAGAGCGCCTGGCTCTGACGCTGTCTCACTCTGCAGGCCACCGAAACCCTCATATGGGATGTTGTCGGAGATACTGTAAAAGCCATCTGAGTACCATGGAAATTGACACACTTCCAGTTATAGATTTTAACAAAGACTAATTAATTTCCCCTTCAATTGGGAAGGGTATTTCAGCAAGCAGGTAATGGAAGTAAAATCCAAGAGTTCTCTCACACTTGCTAGGAAATTCAGATGATTATTTTCCAAATGAAATCTGGCTAAAAATTCCCCTGAAGTGAAGCAGAATCATTTTATGCTTCTTCATGTGCTATTCATGGATTAGAGCATATTGAGCCAGTGCATTGGTCAGATAATGGTGAAGCCTTTTGACTGAAATTCCAGATGTATTCAAATTATATCCCTCATTACACTTTATACAGCAGCATCTTAACAAGGAATAATTATCTGTAATTTAAAGTGATGTGCTCACATGCATCTTGTGCCAGGCCTTAATGATGATGATAATTTGTGCATTTGATGTAACCCCTGGTTACATTGTCAATGTCTTACCTACCCTCCCCGGCTCGGAGTCAGGCTCCGCCACTGTTAAGCGCTCTGAGACGCTACCCTGCGTGGAGGGCGCTATATATGTGCAAGTTGTTGTTGTCTCAAAGCTCTTAGAGGAATTTTACTGTAAGGTGTAGTGACTGTGCATTTATAGGCAAATGCAGTAGCCAATTTGCTCAGCAATGTGCAGCAATACTCCACAAATGGTGAATGACATATTTTATCTGGGGGCCAGGAAACCAGGGTGAAATCCCCTTCTCTTTTTCAAAACGTGCCATGGGACCTTTAATTTGCACTTGAACATGCAGACTATGGCCTCGATTTAATGTCTTATTTAAAGGACGACATCTCCAACAATGCGCATACCCCCGGCATTGAACTGAAGGGTCAGCCTAGTCTGAGTTAAAATCTTGATGAGGAATGTGGCTTATTTTCTTCCTCCCCCCACCCCACCTTCCAAGCCCAGAGTCACTCAGGACAGTTGCAGCAACTTACTGTCCACTCCAGCTGAGATCACGTAACTCAATTCTGACTAGCATTGTGGACCTAACCTTTCCATAGTGCTACCTAGGTGGCTTCAGCAACCAGATCATTTGGGGAACCTATGCAATGTTCTTGGGTTCTTTGATTGTAATTTGATTATTATCATACTTTAATCATTTCAAATATAGTGAACAACAAAAATAACAGTTCTGCTGCCGTGGCTGCTGTGTGAAGAGAGACGTCTTATGTGTCGTTTTGGAAGCGTGCTGAATTCTTTCAAGTTTTGTGTTCTAATTTTTAACGTTGGCTTTGCACTCTTATACTAAAACTAAAAGATAAATTCTTTATCTTGTGTTTGTTGTCTGTACCAGATTGTGGATGGAAAGCTGTGGTTCCAGTTGGACTGTGGAAGTGGGCCGGGCATCGTGGGGATTTCTGGCCGAACTGTTAACGATGGGAATTGGCATTCTGTCGTTCTGGAGCTCAACCGGAATTTCACAAGTCTCTCACTTGATGACAGCTATGTGGAGCGTCGGAGGGTTCCTCTGCACTTTCACCCCCTTGGCATTGACAACTCCATCTACTTTGGTGCTCAAGTGCCAGCTGTGGCTGCCCGTGGATTGTCCATCCAGAATAGTGCACAAGTCCTGGGCGGGTTTCAAGGATGTCTGGACTCAGTTGTCCTGAACAACAATCAGCTACCGCTCCAGAACAAGCGCAGTCACTTTGCTGAAGTCGTTGGCCTGACAGAACTGAAGCTTGGCTGTGTCTTGTATCCTGATGCCTGTGCAAGGAATCCATGCCAGAATGGAGGAAGTTGTACAAGCCTGCCATCTGGTGGTATGTTACCTACATTGCATGCCATTTGGTTACACATCAATAGACATCACATGTTTAATACCATTTTCTTCCAAACCACCATTAATGCTCTTACTTCAAATGTGCAATTAATTTTCTTGTTAAGTGAGTGCTGTACTGTAAATTTCCTTTAAGAATGTGTTAAATCTAAAGGCATCTCAGTTTTGAGGAGCAAAAAATCAGCTTGATTGTATAAGCTCCATAACAACAACTTCACGCCGGACGGCATCTCGGCGTGCTTAAAAGTGGCAGAACCCGATGCCATAATAATAATAATAATAATCCTTGCATTTGATATAGCACTTTTCACGTTGGGAGGACGTCCCAAAGCGCTTCACAGAAGACACTGTAAAATGAATTCACTGTATATTTGTGGGCGAACGCGGCAGCCAATTGCGCACAGCAATGTCCCACAAACAGTCGTAGATTGAAAATGACCAATTTATTATTGTTTTTGGTTTTGGAAGGATTATTATTAGACGTGTGGAGTAAGGAAACTTGCCCAAGGTTTCGCCCTCTGCCTGGAATTGAACTCAGGTCTCTCGCTTGCAAAGCGAGTGCTCTAACTACTGAGCTACAGGGAGAGGGGGAAGGTGACCGTAGGCATGGTCGAAGAGGACTTCTTCAAGCGCGACCTGAAAATTGGGAGAGGGACAAGGCGAAGGGATTAAGAGAGAGAATTCCACAGCTTCGGAGCGCAGTGGTTAAAGCACGTCTGCTGATGGTGGGGCAGAGGGTCTGGGGGACAAGGAGGAGGCTGGAGCCTGTTGAGCAGAGGTAGTGGGTAGTAGTGTAGGCAGAAAGCACGTTGGAGAGAGGAGGATGTGATAATGCATTTTGACATGAATCCCATCCTTGAAATGAAATATTTACACAGAAAGTGCTGAATATATGGTCAGACTCCTCATGTGGAGATAGATTGTATCACCAAATTCAAGAGGAAATTAACTATTTAGTGAAGAATTTATTGAGGGGTGTGGAGGGAGAGCAGTGTAGAATCGCTTTAATAATAAATAATCTTAAATTTGATACAGCGCCTTTCATGTCAGGAGGGTGTCTCAAAGCACTTCATAGAAGATTGCTGTGCACAAATTGGCTGCCGTGATCACCTATAAAAGACAGTAACTGAACTTCACAGTATATTCTGTAAAGCACTTTGGGATGCACTCCTCTGTAGCAAAGTTAAAATGACTCATTTAAGATAAGTAGTATGTAAAGGTAGAGAGTATTTTATCCCTGTCCTGTCCTTGAGTGGTTTAGGTCCTACCTCTCCCACCATCTTCATTTTGTCTCTGTAAACGGCTTTTCTTCCAGCCCCGCACTGTCTCATGCGGTGTCCCTCAGGGCTCTGTCCTCGGTCCCCTCCTCTTCACCCTCTATATGCTCCCCCTTGGTGACATCATCTGCAGACATGGGGTTAACTTCCACATGTATGCGGATGACACCCAACTCTACCCTTCCTCTTCTACTCTCAACTCCACGACCACCGATGTCCTGACAGCCTGCCTGTCCGACATTGAGTCCTGGACGAGAAACAACTTTCTTCAGCTCAACGTGCGCAAAACTGAGGCCCTCCTGATTGACTCTCGTCAGCGCCTCCGCACCTCAGGCGCTGACAGCATCAGCATCCAAGGCTGCACTCTCCACCTCTCAAAGCCGTCAGGAACCTCGGGGTTCTGTTCGACCCTGAGCTGTCCTTTCTCCCTCATATCCGCACCACAACTGGCACTGCCTTCCACCACCTCCGGAATATCGCCAGACTACGGCACTACCTCACCCCTCACGCTGCTGAAACACTGGTCGACGCCTTTATCACCTCAAGGCTGGACTATGGGAACTCTCTCCTCGCCGGCCTTCCCGGCACCTCCCTCCACAAGCTGCAGGTCATTCAGAACTCTGCAGCTCGTGTACTGTCCCGCACCAGGCTTCGCGACCACATCACTCCCACCCTCGCTCGCCTCCACTGGCTCCCCATCCCCCAGAGAATCGAATTCAAGATCCTCATCCTTACCTACAAGGCTATTCACGGCCTTGCTCCCTCCTACCTCTCCGACCTACTATCCCCCTACCTACCTGCCCGTACCCTCCGTTCCTCTGGCTCCGGTCTGCTCCACATCCCTTGCCCTAACCGCCCTACCATCAGTGGCCGGGCTTTCAGCCTCTCAGCCCCTAGGCTCTGGAACTCTATCCCCCAGTGCCTTCGCCTTGCTTCCTCCCTTTCCTCCTTCAAGGCCGGTCTCAAGACCTTTCTCTTCAACCGTGCCTTCACCTCCTCTCTCGACTCTCTGCTCGGGTCCCAACCCAACTGTCCAGCGCCTTGGGACATCCTCTCGACGTGAAAGGTGCTCTATAAATACAATCTTGTTGTTGTTTATTACAACTTGATGTTCAGGTTGAATTGTTGTTGCAAATTCTACACCTTTAGATTCAAAACTTTTATTTATGTACTTCAAAGTTACTGCAATGACGAATGATTTGTGTTCACCTATAAAAGACAGTCACTGAACTTCACAGTACTTCCCGTAAAGCATTTTGGGATGCACTCCACTGTAGCAATACAATTCCATTGCAGTAGATTTGGCAGGGGAAGGGAGAATCTTAAGAGGGTTGTTGTCTACTTGCAGTGCTCCGAGACACTATCCTGCATGAAGGGCACTATGTAAATGCAAGTTGTTGTTGTAGGGGGCCTATTGCCCATCATTTCGTGGGGCTGCAGCAAGTATTATTTCACAAAACTAAAAAGTATTATTTACTTAACCAAATTTCATCTGTTGCAGCATTTGCCAGTAATTCCCATGAAGCATTTTGATACTTCCTCCCAACATGAAATGTGCTGTATCGAATGGACAAATTATTATTATTAATTCTAAGTGCCTGTGAAGCTGAAAACTTAAATACTGCATTTCCATTCCTTGAAGTATTTTCTCTGACTTAAGGTCATGTCCCTGCTGCAAAATACTGGACCGTTGATTCATATCCAAACACTCTGTCTGTATCAACAGGTTATCAGTGCAGCTGCTTGTCACAGTTTACAGGAAACCAGTGTGAAACTGAAGTGACAGCCTGCGTCCCAAACCCGTGCCAGAATGGAGGCTTTTGTGATCCCATCGTTGATGATTTCATTTGTGGCTGCAAAGAAGGCTTCACTGGTCTTACGTGAGTAGCTCTGTAATCTTGTTCTTTGTGTGTATGAAACTGTGCTGATTAGGAACCTTTAATGAGAAGGTTCAGTAATCAATTTCAGGTAAGTTTTGCTTCCCAAACTGTTGGGAACAGTTAGGAACCAGGAACTATTCATTCAGAGATTGTCACAGTAATTTGTAAAGTGTCGAACTTGTGGTTTTCCAAAATAAATTCTGGTGCTTTTTGGTCGCGTATGGAGGTATGGTGTCAAAATTCACAGATGACTCAAACTGGGAGATATTGTAAATAATAAAGAATTCTGAAACAAGATGCAGAAAGATAAATGGGTTTGCAGAGTGGGTGCATAGATGGCAGATAAAATTTAATATAGAGAAATGTGAAGTAATTTTCTTTAATAATAGGAATAAAGAAGCCTTCTGATGATAGGAACCTAAGAAGGCTGGAGGAGCAAAGAAATCTGGGGATTGAGTAATACAAAATTCACAATCGCCCCAGCTCAAGTAAAGACTTCCCGACCAGGCCGTTGGCCTCAATGTGGATAACCATATGTTGAAAGAAACAATGTGACAGTTTAATGCACATCCATGATGGTTAAGTTAAAGATGATTCTAAATTGTTCAATTGTTCCACAGGTGTGAAGACGACATCAATGAATGTGATGTAGAAGAGTGCCATAATGGAGGAACATGTTTGAATACATTGGGTTCATTTCACTGTAACTGCTCCTCAGGATTTGTAGGCTTATATTGTGATTTGAGACCTGTAATTGTACCCAATATACAACCTGGGCATCCCTACATTGGAAAAGAGGAGTTCATTGGGATAGCAGTGGTCCTGCTTGTTCTCATGATCCTCGTAATAATCTTTGCCATTTTTCGTAAAAAGGTCTTCAAGAGACATTACGCACGTAACAACATCACCCTTGTGCAGGACCCTGCAACTGCTGCACTGCTTAATAAACCAAATGGCATCCAGTTCAAGGGTGTCCGCAATAATGGTGATGGTCGTTGCATTTACCAAGAAGCTGGAGGTCCACCTCAAGTGCCAGTTAGGCCTATGGGCTATACACCATGCTTTCATAGCGACTCCAGAAACAACCTGGACAAGATTGATGGGATCGGCGTAGAACACCAGGAAATGAGCACTTTTCACCCCGATTCTCCTCGGCTGCTGAGTACCCGCAGGGGAGTCGTCGTGTGTAGTGTGGCGCCAAACCTCCCATCAGTGACTCGATCTGTTTCTGATTGTGATTCATTAAGAAAAAACACGTGGGATGTCGACAGAGACGGTAATGGAGATTTATCTTTATTTTATTTAAACTCTGCCTCTGTGTCTTCCATCTTCTGTCTATCCTGACCTGTCTGGTCCTGTGCTGCCCTAAAATAGATCAAGCTCATGTCTCTTCCAAGTGGATACAAGTGGCAAACCAGAGGTGATGTCCTCACTCAAAATAAATGTTGGTAATTAATTCTGTACACTGGTACACATGTTACAGTGCTAAACAATCATCTCTGTTAGAACGTGGAGACGTGTAGCTCAAGAGTCCTGTAGCTCAGTGGTTGGAGTACAAACCTCACAAGCGAGAGAGCTGAGATTGAATTCCGGCAGGGGAAACGTTGGACCAAGTTTCCTCTGTTTACCTAGCAGTAAATAGGAACCCGGTTGTTAGTCGATTAACGGATCGCTTTTCCGTGAATAATAATTCCTTCCAAAAAAAATTAATAATAATAAATTGGTCACTCAATCCACGACTGTTTGTGGGACTCTGCTGTGTGCAATTGGCTGCCATGTTTTGCCCACAAAATATACAGTCAATTCACTTTACAGTATATTCTGTGAAGCGCTTTGAGACATCTTGAAGTCGTGGTAAGGCACTATTATCAAATGCAAGGATAATTATTATGAATGAACTAACAGTGTATTTATGATTCTATAATAAATAATAATCACGTCTTTGAGAAGTGAGAAAGACTATTTTGGGAAGGTGCTATTTGCCTTAGTCAACTCCTTACACAGATTTCATGTGTCAGCCTGGCACATTGGTAGCACTCTCGCCTCTGAGTCAGAAGGTTGTGAGTTCAAGCCCCACGTCGGGTCTTGGAATCTAAGCTAATTCTCCAATGCAATGCTTAGGGGTCTGTTGCATTGTCGGAGCTGCCGCTCTTTGGATTAGGCGTTAAACTGAGGTCCCATCTGCTTCTTCAAGTGGACTTTAAAGATGCCATGGCACTATTGGAAAAGAGAAAGGAGTTTCTCCCAGTATCCTGACCAACAAAATTATTCACTGACCCCCATGGCTTTTTGTTGGACATTGTTGTGCACAACTGGCTGCCGCATTTTCGCCGACAAAATCCACAGTCAATCCACTTTATAGTCTGCGAAGCTCTTTGAGACGTCTCATTTATGTGATTAGGAGCTATATTAAATGCAAGGATTATTATTTCAAAATGATCAACGGAAAGAGCACAACAATGGGATTGGATTAATTAGCTCCCATGGATGAGCCAGCTCTCAGTCCCTGAGCAAAATTGCCTCCTATGATTCATAAAATAAAAGGTGGAGGAATTTCCAGCCTACAAAAATCCTGCACTGTTATTATTGTGATATTAATATATGTGGCTTTGTTTCTTAAACACACTGCACAGTAAGGTTGACATTAAGCTTGAGAGCACCAATAACTGTAAATCCTGCTTTGGCTTTTTATATATTGAAAATTTACATCAGTGGAGTTGTGGAAAGGAACATAAAGAAGGAATGAGCCATAATAACTATTTGTCTAATCTTATGGCTTCAGGCAAAGTGGACATTACTGAGGATGCAGCAGGTTTTGCAGGAAGTACAAAAGGTAGCAATTCTGAGGTCCAATCACTCAACTCCTTCCAGTCAGACTCATGCGATGACAATGGTAAGAAGTTTTTCTAAACCATTCATTCTCTTCTACCTTCTTACAACCAAGGTTTACTTTCCTGAGACAGCATAAAATATTGCTTTCTTTACAAGTGACAGTGGAGAAACATTCATATTTCTCATCATTAACAGTGTCATCTGACAAACCTGAAAATACATTGATTGCATGAGGCCGTTTTTGTTTCCTGGTTTGAGCCAAGAGCTCACTTTTATATTATGGTGAATATTAGTGGTCACCAAAGTGTGCGGTTTCACTGCTGGAGAATGGATAGCTTCCCACTTATGATACTACAGGTGGAATCCAAAGGCAGATTAAAGCTTCTGCCCAACAATGCGCTTCAATCTCTGAGTGAGGCTGTCATCATGTGCTTAATTGTGGGTAGTTTTATATTGCACCCACTTGCAACTGGATTGAAATTTGTCCCATGTGTTTGAACTGAATTAATTCATGCCGCACTTTCTGCTAAACCACTGCACCGCCCAACATCTCTCGAGGTTCCACTTTTACAACTGTTATACAGCTTTCCAGCATGTGTATTATCATGTTATCCACTATAGAAGGGCAAAGTAGGTGATATAATGTCTTATACTGTGTATTGTATTTCCAAATGGGGTAAACCAAGATCAGTACAAATAATCATTGTGTCCCTGCAAGGAGCCAAGAGTACTAGGCAATGGGTTATTTTGCATCTAATGCAAAAAAAAAGAAAAAAATTAAACCATGAATAAGGGAAGCTGCTTATGACTTGAAGATGCTCCTAGCATCTCCTCAGAATTCATATGTATGTTCATATCAGTACACTTTCCACAATACTGGGTGACATCAGGTGATTTTTTTTAATATAGCCAGTAACTGGTCCATTAAATTATTTTCCTGTATTTGAAATAAAAGTAATTAAAGTCCAAGAATTCTGTGATTGAAGAAAAGATCCAGGGAATTATTTTGTACAACAGTAACATTACGATTATGATAGACACCTACCATAAGATCACATTGTGTAATCAGTGTATTATGTTTTAGTTTAGCTTTTACTGTTTCGGATCTATTGCATTGCTCATTATTTAAAGGCTGCATCCACATTGTAATTGTCGATTTATTAAAATGATTAGCAGGTCACACACTAAGTAAATATTTCCTTCCAGTCTTGAGTAAGGTCCAGAAATAATACTATTTCATTTTACTCTTGTTAAAGACCTTAAAGTAATGCAAACATGTCTGGATATTTTCTTCAAAATGTATGTTCTGACTGAGAGCTTAGTTTGTACCTGTTGTACAATACCAGCATGAAGAACTGATTCTATACTACATGGCATGTGGTTGGATATCTCCTGCACTATCTGTATAGCTTGGAAGCTGGTTAGAGTAATAGGAATGTTAGGTTTGTGGCCCAATGATGATTCTTGCTCTGATTTTTAACGTTATTTGATATTTTACTTTTTCTTAGTCACCGACTTTAGTCTTAGACATTTTCTTACATATCAAAACAGATAACACTTGTGTCCGAAGCAGATGGTTTATGAAACAGTTTCTACTCTAACGTCTTTTTAACAGAGTGGTTCAGTGGAGGTACAAGTTTCTCCCAGGTTCCTGGTGAACAATTCTTCAGATACTATTGGTCATTCACTCCATGGCTATTTGTGGGTTGTTGCTGTGCGCAACTTGGCTGCTGCATTCATGCACAAAAAACAGTCACTTCACTTTAGAGTATATCCTATGAAGCGTTTTCGGACCTGATATAAAAGATGCTATCCTAATGCAAGGAATTTTATTACAATGCGGACATGCACAGAAAATGCATCTTTCTCCTACTAACAAGATGCTCGATTCAGTACTGTCAGGTTAAACTTTAATTTTCTTGTCTTTCTGTCTAGGAAAGCCATATGGATCATTTCCAGCACCTTGGGACGTCCTCCCGACGTGAAAGGCGCTATACAAATGTCATTTTGTTGTTGTTCTCCTTGTGTAATGGGTGGGGTGAATACTGTCGAAAGAACAGGATTTAAAGATCAATTGACATTATTGTTGATTCTTTTTATATTCTTGTAACTGTCTTCCTAGCACCACAATTCAATAACAACTTGTGTGTATATGGCACCCTTAATGCTGGGTAGCCTCTTGAAACAATTTATTGATCCTTTCACACATATTGTGGCAGCACAATGGTACTGCTCTGAACAAATGAATTGTGCAAATAGAACTACAGTCAGTTCCATGAAGAATTGACTTGTTCTCTATACTTGGGTTTGAGTGCAAACCTGTTATTAAAAGATTCTTGCCAATGTTTCTTGCATTCTGTCAAGATGTCTGTAAATCATCATTGTCACAGACAGTTTGCAAAGGATTTCTGTCAGAAATAGTAGTAAACTATTGATTTGTAATATAAGATTAAATAGATCGTGCTTAACAGTATGGCTTGGACAGACTGATTTTTGAATGAAAATCAAGCCAAGTATTACTTCTGACATGCTCAGCTACCAATTATATCCAGACTAGCACAGAACTCTAGGCTGCTTCAGATCTAAAGTTAAGAGGTACCAATTAGATGTATTTCTTTAAGAACAACAACTTGCATTTGTATAGCGCCCTTCATGCCGGACGGCATCTCGGAGCGCTTAACAGTGGCAGAGCCAGATGCCGAGCCAGGGGGCACGGTCGAAGAGTAAGGTCTTCAAGCGCCACCTAGACGTGGGGCAATGTGAAGGGATTGAGGGAGAGAGTTCCACAGTTTCAGGGCATAGTGGCTGAAAGCACCATCACCGATGGAGGGTCTGGGGCACAGCAGGAGGCCGGAGCCAGTCGAGCGGAAGCAGTGGGTAATAGTGTCGGGAGAGAGTGGGTTGGAGAGATAGGTGGGTGCCAGGGTATGAAGAGATTTAAATACAAGAGTGAGCAGACTCAAATCCATCCGCTCTATGACAGGGAGCCAATGGAGTTTGAAGAGGTAATGGAGGTATGGAGTTTAGTGTGGGTGAGAATGCCGGTGGCAGAGTTTTGAATTAGTTGAATTTTATGAATAGTAGAGAAGGGGAGACCAGCGAGGAGGGGGTTTGAGTTGTTGAGGCGGGAGGTAACAAAGGAGTGGACGAGGGATTCGGCTGCTTTTGGAGAAAGTTAAGACTGACAGTTTTTGATCATTAAGTTAAGTTTAACATTCGACCATTTTATTTTGGCATAATGCACTCCACATTATTGTAAGCATTTATTCGATTTTGATGGATGGACATTACCATAATTGTTTATAGTAAAAATATATATTGTTGCCATTTGCAGAACAAATTTAGTGCCCTTCAATTCTTAGTTCACAATTGTATAGATGCTGTAAAACTCTCTTGAAACGAAACAAGGAAAGTACAAAATGGAGACAAAAATAGTTTCTGATCTTCACAATCTTTGAAGGAGACTCAATGGTTACTGCACTAGTAGATCTCCAGATACATTACCCTATTAATTCTGCAGAACCATCATTGATTCAATGTTTTTTCATGTCAAATTGTCTCAACAGCGTGATAAGGTGCTGAACCAAGTGCAAGGATTATTATTATTATAAACTTTTAATTTGATTACAAGCACCTCAGAACATTCTCCCTATGTGAAAAGTGCTACATAAATGCAATTTGTTGTCGTTATGTAGAAAAACGGTTTGTTGGTTCTAGGTAGTCCATTGTGCCCTTTCAACATTAACGAGCAATTTCTCATGAATCTTTTTTTTAATAAAAGAAAATGTCAGCACTTTTAGCACTATAAAAGATCATTGTTAACTTTTATAGACCTGTTTGATTCATTCATTGTGGAGTCCTGTAGCTCAGTGGTTAGAGCACTCGCTTTGCAAGTGAGAGATCTGAGTTCAATTCCAGGCAGAGGGCGAAACCTTGGGCAAGTTTCCTTACTCCACACGCCTAATAATAATCCCTCCAAAAAACAAAAACAATAATAAATTGGTCATTTTCAATCTACGACTGTTTGTGGGACATTGCTGTGCGTAATTGGCTGCCGCGTTCGCCCACAAATATACAGTCAATTCACTTTACAGTATATTCTGTGAAGCGCTTTGAGACGTCTAGAAGACGTGAAAAGCACTATATCAAATGCAAGGATTATTATTATTATTATTCACTTATGGTGTGAAAATCCTATTCAGAATTACTGCCATCAGCGAGTGCAGTTCCTCAACAGCCAGGACAATATGGGGAGCAATCTTATAATTGCATCAAGTGCTCTGATGAATAGTTCATCAAACTTGAAACCTAATAGAAGACTCATTAGTTCTAGCTAACTCAATAACAACTTAGCAGCAACACTAACCTAATATAAGCTAATACCAGTTTCTACATGTCTGAGCAGCGTTTGTCTTCCATTGGTAAAATCAACCTACTTTATACTGCAAGGAGGGTTCAAGAAAAGCTGGCAAATAATATCCGGGTACTGTGCCACATGTCTCTTATCAATTTTCCTCCTTTTTGGGTCTGAATGCAATTTACATGATGTGCACAGGGTCTACCATGGGTTGTGAGATTACAACTTTGTTGTGGGATTGTGTTTTATGTTTTTTACACAATAATAATAATAATAATCCTTGCATTTGATATAGCGCTTTTCACGTCTTCCAGATGTCCCAAAGCGCTTCACAGAATATACTGTAAAGTGAATTGACTGTATATTTGTGGGCAAACGCGGCAGCCAATTGCACATAGCAGTGTCTCACAAACAGTCATGGATTGAAAATGACCAATTTTTTATTGTTTTTTTGGAGGGATTATTATTAGGCGTGCAAAGTAAGGAAACTTGCCCAAGGTTTCACCCTCTGCCTGGAATTGAACTCAGATCTCTCACTTGCAAAGCGAGTGCTCTAACCACTGAGCTACAGGACTCCAAGAAAATAATATTTTTATTGAGAGTCCATCAGCAATTTAGTTAAATGCCCGTCCTACCGATGTGAAAGGTGCTACATAAATGTAAATCGTATTGCAAATGTTTCTAATTTAATATGAGATGCGGCAGAATATAAAGATAACTTGAAATTGCATTTTAATTTGAAGATGAAGAATGGTTAATCCTTGTCTCTTTCAAAGCCTGTCTCTAGACGTTTTCGACCATGCCTTCGGTCATCTTCCTTCCTCCACCCCTCTCTGATCCCAATCTGCAGCTCAGGTTGGGGAGGACAAGTTTGCAGGACTATGGGGAGAGAGCGGGGAAGTGGGATTGATTTGAATAGCTCTTTTCAAAGAGCCGGCACAGATACAATGGGCCAAATAGCCTCCTTCTGTGCTGTATAATTGTATGTATGATAGGTTCAACCCCTCATTGTCCAGGATCCAGGGACATCCTCCTATCATGAAAGGTGCTATATAAATGCAATTTATTGTTGTTAACGTAGTGAGAAATTATTGGTTTTCCATTTCCCCGTCACTTCTACACAAGGTACTTTGCATTGTTGCAAGTTTGACAGTTACTTGCTAATCCTGAAGAGAGTTTTATTTCAGAGATAATAATATTAATCCTTGCATTTGATATAACTTTGTTAACACTGGGCGACTATCTCAAACTCTCTCACAGGATTTACTACTGAAGTGTAGTGAGTATGAATTTTGTACATTAATGCAGCCCCTAATACAGCTAAAATAGGTTGTGGTAAGTGATTTACCAGATAGTGGCCTTAAATGAGTTTTAAAGCAAGATAAAATTAAGTAAATTCTACAATAGTAACAGTTTTTACTTCTATAGTGCATTTCACACAGGAGAAAGAGTGGGATACAGGTTGGGTTCCCAAGCTGGGGGGGACATGGGCAGCTGGGGGGTGATTGTATAGGTGAGTGATATGGTGAATAGGATCCACAGCAGGACAGTGTTATGATCAAATTCACATTAGACAGAAGAATGCTTAATGGGATCACACTATGACTTTGTGTAGAAGGACCTTGTAGATCCTGCTTATTTTTATAGCAATATCTCATTATTATTAATATGTGAAAGGAGCAGCCTGAAATATGTTTTAAAAAGAACAGAAAATCTGGGATAGCTGTCAGATGGTTTATTTGATTCCATGCAAATGAGATCAAATGGGCTGAAGGTCCTTCTTGATCCATGCCTTGTCAATTAACAGTTAAGGGAGCTTGCACTGGTAACATTTTTATTTAGAAAATACCAAAACATTCAGATTTACTCAGGGAGATCAAACTGGACGTATACACAATCAGCATTCATCTGAAGCAGACTTATAAAGTGGTCTGTCTACAATATTGGCAGATTGTGATTGCTCAACGGCTGAACAGTTTCTTAACAATGTGAGAACTCTTTGACACTTCCTTTGCTTTGATCAGAGAGGATAACTATTGCTAACATCTATCATAGTTCACTGCACTGAAATTGTTGTTCATTTAACCTATGGCCTATCTCTAATGTACACTACAAAAGTGCACTCAGAAACTGTCAGATACTTTACTTGCTCTTTGATCTACTGTGGATGTTGTACTTGTAACGTACAACATGACAGGTTCGAAAAAAGGCTTAGAAATGCAGTGTTTGCAAGGTTTTGGATTATCTGATGTGAAAGTCGTAAAACACATTGCTGTTCCCATACATTGTGCTTCAGTCTGGTTACACTGCAGGTCCTACCTGTGAGTTCCTGATCTCAACAATGAGTGCACCTATTTTTCAATGATTCAAAGGATAATGACTACAGACCCAGAAGGGTCTTAGGTTTGAATATGATAAATAGTGGATACTAAGACTCAAATAAATTCCTTCAAGGTATGGGATAGTAAAAGTGTAATTTTAAAACTGAAAGTTAACAATGCTGCAAGCATTATAGTGGGATAGTACTGCGAGCTTCTGAAAACTCATTGCATAAATATATCAATTGTTTGGATTCCAAACCAACATTTTTCACTCTCTAGCATTTCTTTAAGCTATTAACTCCTCAGTCCATTAATCAGATGCACCGCTTCCTTAAAATCCCATTGCATATGAAAGCCAATGTATCATATAGGTACTTTGAATATTGATCATGACTAAATGAGGTGCAATGAATTGCTCCACTGAGTTTGGATGAATAGGGTAATTTGTGATCAACAACCGTTATTAAAATTTTCAGGAACCCAACTATCATCAGAAAAGATAACTCCATGAAATCAGACTGACCTCTAATGCAATATCTTCTCCATGATATCACCATGTTCTCAGAAAATAACAAAATTAAAATGTTTCCTTCTCTACACCCCACATCCCTGTCACCTGTTCACCCAATATATCTATAGCGATGAAATGTAGCTTTAAATCTGCTCAAACTATCTGTAAAACATAGGTAACTTCTCATTTATATTTTGCCTTTCACGTTGGAGGACGTGCTTTAAAGTGCTTCACACTGACTGGGAATCCGTTCTTTCCCCCTCCACTCCAAAAAAAACAAAACTGATGAGGAATGAAGCGCAACACAAGCTCTGAGTAAATCATGGTACTATCCCTTATAGGTAACTGTATATGAAGAGAATTGTCATAGCATTAATTGCGTTGAGTTGTGATTTGTAAGCTGTGTAGTTTAGGACTGTGGAGTCCTGTAGCTCAGTGGTTGAGCACTCGCTTTGCAAGTGAGAGACCTGAGTTCAATTCCAGGCAGGGCGAAACCTTGGGCAAGTTTCCTTACTCCACACGCCTAATAATAATCCCTCCAAAACCAAACACAATAATAAATTGGTCATTTTCAACCCATGACTGTTTGTGGGACATTGCTGTGCGCAATTGGCTGCCGCGTTCGCCTACAAATATACAGTCAATTTACTTTACAGTGTGTTCTGTGAAGCGCTTTGGGACGTCCTCCTGACGTGAAAAGCGCTATATCAAATGCAAGGATTATTATTATTATATTATTATTTTAGAGGATTAGTACGCCAATAAACCTAATGTTCTTCAACTTTGGTAAATGTTTTTGTTTTAATTTTGATATTACATAAATGTCATGGCCAATTAATAATTTACTTCTGCATGGGTCTCTAAGGTGAAAGCATAATTGCTTTCAAGAACAAAATCGAAGTTAACTGGACTGCAAGATTTAAAGTCATTTGGCACTGATGCAATGATCTATAAAGGCCACCATTTTTCCTCACAAATATAAATTTGGCTCCTTATTTGAAGGCATTCATTCTGTTATATGAATTTGACTAGGTAACAATGAGTATTTGGTCCACCAGGGGTGCTGGTGCATTGTACCTGCCAGCAATGAGGTTTGGAAGAGGTTTTTCAATAACATGGAAACATGGGGCTGTACAGCAGTAGAGAAGACCATTGTGGTCCATTTGACTAGGCTGACACTCCAGTGCAGTGCTGGGGGCTGTTGCATTGTTGGAGGTGCCATCCTTTGGTTAAGACTTATTTTTTTATTTTTGGTCAGCCAGGTGTTTTGACATGTGAGGACACCCATAACCATGCTTAAGAGTATCCAAACCAAGCTTTAAGACTTTAAACCTAATTGGGTGAACATTATATGACATTCCTTGAAAAGCAAAGGTCGTTTCTCACAAACAAAATTGGTCATTCTTTTCATGGCTGTTAGTGGGACTTGTGCCATGCACAAGTGAGATGCCACATTTTCCTACAAATAATTTAAGGTGAATCCTGTGAGGTATTTTGAGATGTCTCCTTGACATGAAAAGGCTCCATACCCAAACCAATAATTATTACCTGGCTTCTCTCATTGCAGAGCATGTTTGCTTACAAATTTCTCGTTCAGACCAAAAAGACCAAAAACTGAAGATTGCTTGGATTTCTATCATCACAAGGCTTAGTTTATGTAAACATTATATTTTCAAAATCATGTTTATTTGTTTGGCCAAAATATAAGGATATAAATGTTACGACAGGATATAAATATTACCTCAGGGTTTACTACTTCCCTCTCACAATCTCCTTCACCTTCTTCCCGCTGCCTGCTTGTCTGGTCAACAGATCTATAACATATTCTGTGTTTCCCTGACACAAATGCTAATAATAATGATAATAATAACACAAATGAAAGTCGATGAGTGAGTGAAAGAAGATAGAAATTGCATGCATGTTGTTGTAATATACGGTATTTACACTAGAGGTAGTAGAAAGTAAATTTGTACCATAGAAAACCGCACCAATGCCATTGCTCTTAACAGCACTAGTGGTCAGCCGTTTCTCAGTGCAATGAATAAAAAGCACAGTAGATTTGTGTGTAATTTTAAACACTCTCCAAAAGTAATGATGCAGATTGTTACTTCTAAGGTTTGTTTTCCCTGTGATATTGCATTTGTGTTCAGACATTCTGAATTTTGTTTACAAGCTAAATAAATGCTAGTGAATCGATGCAAACCTGCTTACTAACCTCAACTGTTATCTGCTCCCTCTTTCTGTTCTTTTTTTTATCTGTCCCTTTTCTTACCCCACCCCAAAAGCTTCAATAGTGACTGTTATACGGCTGGTTAACGATGTGGTTGACACAATTGAGAATGAAGGTATTTAACTTGTGATTGATCTCTATATTTACTTGTGAAATATGATTGATGATGGGATATTCTTCCGTACAGCAATTTACCTTTGCAAGGGTAGTTAGCTCTCATTCCTGGCCTGTAGAAGTGACACATGAGAATTGAAAAATCTAAGAAAAAAATGCAACGTACGATGTTTTTTGTGGCATTTATTTGAGTGAGTTCTTTTAAAATATATTTAACTTTGTGATTGTTCCAATCGTGAGTTCTTTCATATAAATGAATATAGCTCAGTCAACACTGGCCTGCTTCATGTCCCCCGCTCTATTTGCCCCAACCATTTGATGGGTGAGCTTTCAGTCACTCTGCCTCCGCTCTTTAGAACTCCATCTCAGATTCCCCCCGACTCCCTTCCTCTCTCCCGTTCAAAGCCTGTTTCAAGACTTAAACTCTTTGACCACACTTTTGGTCATCTTTCCTCTTCCCCATCCTCTTCAGAGCCCAGCCACCCACTGGCCCAGCCAGCAGTGTGAAGTGCTTTAAGATGATGTCCTCTTGACGTGAAAAGTGCTATATAAGGGTAAATTGTATTGTATTATACATCCCCTTCCCAGGCCAACAAAACTGTCACTGACTGGTTTGCAGTCATATGACTGTGATGAAAAACAACGGTCCGATGCTCCATCTAGTGGTATGTGTAGCACACTTTGAAGATGTTAGGATATTCCATTCTAAGCACACATCATCAAAGCGTACTAACTTAGTGTCATCACTCTAAAATGTGAATGAACGCTTTGTTAAATAAAGGACTTTTTACCTAGAATTTGAAATCTGTGCATTTCTGAGTAAAATGCCTAATAAGACAGAAATCGATCAAAAAATCGAGTATCAAAATTGAATGGTTTCCTGAGAGCTTTCAATGAAGAACGTATTGGATTGCTGTCTGACTCACAAGGATCCGACTTGTGACTTGAACCGAATGCTGTATTACAGTCAAAATTCTAGTTAGCTTTTCTAAAGCTATTTTTTTCTTTAATTAAGCATTTTGTATTTTTCAAACAACAATTTACATTTATATAGCCCCCTTTATATCGGGAGGACATCCCTAAATGCTTTTCACAGCTGATTGGGGACGCGAGCTGTGGGTGGGAGGTCGGGGGGGGTGTTTGGGGAGAGAGCCTAGGGGGGGTGAAAAGATGCTCATACGCAGTCGAAAAGCAAGGTCTTAGATGCAGTATTTGAATCTAAAATCATTTTCAACTTGAATAATCCACAGATAATCATAATGTTACATCACTGTTATAACATCACTGCTGTAAAGCTAATCATCAATGCTGTGAACTGCCTTTTCAGAACCTGCCAATAAAACAGTCATAGTTGCCTGCAGTCTGTGAGGAGTTCATAGGCCAATCACATTAAATCCTACCAATCTGAATTTTGTATTCTATTCATTTTTTCGCTTCATGTGGTAATTCTAATGGTGTAAATTAATATAGCTACTGCAAAGCAGAGCTCTGTGCTTTTTATGCTGGAGTAGTTTTGGATTGAATATAGCAAAGTAAGGTACAATTTTTAATCGGGCATTTTCCTAAGTTACATTTTTTTTACAAAATCCAAACGGCAAAAGGAGAAAAAAAAGGAACTCCGTCCTTTTTATTTAACTTGATTTGCGTAAAATGCATTTACTGTAGTCTGTTTTGAAATGCATTAATTGTGCTCTGTTTTAAAATGCATTTACTGTATTATTTCTCAAAGCTGCTACCACATCCATAGGTTATCGTAAGTGTGATTGATTGATGGGCTTCAGGTATGTTAATGATCAAATGCTCACTTGTTTTTGCTTTCCACCTGACAGTGTCCCTTATGGAGGAGGGGCAGAGCTACAACAGAGGTGACTTCCAGACACTTCCCATTTGCTCATTAATGCTACCCCAACTTGTTTTTAATAGCCGTTTGCCTCACTTGTTTTTTTGCAATTCAGTTGCCCTCTATGCATGCATGTAACAAAAGCTGTAAGAGTTAGAGTGATTTTCAGTGGAACTGAACATAAGCTAAGCTGCAAGCTTTTTTTTCGATTTGAATGATCTATTGTTTATGTGCACTTTTCCGGCTGAACTACTTTCACTTTGTTGGAATAATGAGCTTCAACTTTGGTTATTCGTTTAAATCAGTGTACAGATTTGTTGTGCACAAAAATGTGACCCTTAATGTTGAAAGTTGTTATAATCTTGAATGAAAAATATAAGTCTCTAACCATGAGAAATCAGAAATGTCTCATCTCTCTAAAATGAAAATTCAAAGCATTATTCTGCAATTTATGGTTCAGCCTCAGTTTGTCAATGTATAATTGTACTGTAAGAAGTAACTGGCTTCCAAAATGCATGCTGGTTTCATTTGGTCTTTGCATGAACTTGACATTCTACTACCTCAAGTGTTGTGACGTGCCTGACAACTGTATGTCATTACAGTGTGTAAAGTCATGTATCGTTGATAAATGGCTCTGGGGACTGGCTGCTGCAAAACAAAATAACATGACAGCTTCAGATGTTCAGTATTTGATAGATGAAAAATCACGTCTCAGTAAAAGAATCACACTGCTTTTTTAACCATTTACTTGTGCAAACTGTTTTGCATAACCTGCACTAAATCCACTGTTTGTGTCCGTGATGATACTTGTGCTAGTTGTAGAGTTGTGAGAAAGGGAAAGTCGGCTGTGATAAATTTGAGAAAAACATGCACTACACGAGCAGCTTGTATTAGAAAAGGATCGACTAGTTAGATGTTCAGGGACCCTTATTTCTGTATACTGATATGCCATCAGCAAAGTGCACTGGGGTAACTAGCTTGATTGGTCAATATATACATGTTTTAACAATTATGGATATTATACTCTTATTTGCAGTAATATACATGGAGCACAACATATTTTGAATAGGAACAAAAATCACGATACCAATGCCAGCTGACTTCAAATTATTTTAATAACAAATGTGTCACTGTAGATTTTTCTTTCTATTGCAGCATACCATTGGGATACCTCAGACTGGATGCCTAGCACTCGACTGCCTGATATTGAAGAAGTACCTCACTATGAAACAGCAGATACTGCCCCTGTGCATCATGAGAGTACGAGAGCACTAGACACTGACTACTACCTGGGTGGGTACGACATAGACAGTGATTTTCCACCTCCTCATGATGAGGAGTTCCTGAGCCATGACCAGCTCCCTCCTCCCCTGCCAGAGGATTACCAGGAGCAATATGAGGCCATCCAGCCACCCCACGTAAAGTCCGCATCAAACACTTCGAGCTCTGACAGCCGACGGAGACCTCACTTCCACCCTAGCCAATACCTTCCACCTCATCAATTGCCTGTAGAGGGAGAGGTTGCTGGAGCACAGGACGAGACAAACTACAACACTTTTGGTGCAGGTTCCAACCAGGACTTGGAGAACGTGAACGCCGACAGCATGTCGATGTCTATTCTCACGTCCACCAATGCTTCGTCCTCGGACATGTCAGCGACCTGTGGTTTCGATGACTCAGAAGCCGTGATGAGCGACTATGAAAGTGGCGACGAGCTCAATTTTGACAATATCCATATTTCCTTTGTGGAAACCCACCACCACACGCAAGTGTGACGGCTGTTGCTCAGCGCCACTTCAGAGTCAAAGAACTGACGGATAAGAGTCGAGCAGGACTCGGAGAACCATGGAGTTGTGCCAGGAGTGTAAAGACATTCCATAGAGTGTTACACCTGCAAACACTGGTGAAAAGAGTGATTTAGAATCAGTTTTTCTCACTAACTGGTACTGATTTAACTGTGCACATTAGTCCCAACACCAGCTCCAGAAAGATTTCTCCTTTATGGATATAATAATTAATGCTTCAGTTTTTTTTAAATAAATGAAGTGTATTCATGATAGTCATGAGTAGGTTGTAAGCCTGGTCAATTTGGAGCTGAAAGTTGCAGATACAATTAAATTAAAAATTTTTACGGATATAATCCTGACATTGTATTGTTCCTGTGGAATTTATTTTGATGGTGCAAGATTAAAAGAACTCTTTATCACACTGTTAAATATGGATGAAACAATCGGTGATTTAGCAGGTATCTATGAAATGTGATGCTCCAGGAAAATGGGACCTTGTAACAGCACTTTTTCAAAAGAACAATGACGTAACTAGTTGGCACTCAACTGGATTTGTGTTGCTGCGGTCCAATGGCACACTGATGGGTATCAGTTGCCTTAACAGTCTGCCCTCCCTTCCAGGTAAATTTTCAGCAATTTGTCTGGACAATTTTAATTCTATCTGTTCAAACTACAGTATCAATCATGGAATGTGTATTATGCACAGCTCTACAGTCAGCATCTGTCAGAGAAAGCAATATATTGAAGTATAATATTTGTCAGTAAAGGAGATGGAAACTAATGCCAGAGTACAATTTGTTAGCCTGTCTAAAATACCTAATAGAAGATCAAATATCAAATCCCCCTCTCCTAACTTTGCTGTAAGGACTGAATTCATTTCAGATCTCGGTGACCTGAACTGAACTATTTCAGTGGCATTTACATCACATCTTATTGAATGCTATGAAATTGCAGTCTGCTGCATGCACTGTAAGTGATAATAGGACAAGGTTGTTTACACTTGCTGCTTTGCAGTCAATTTAAACTGCCATGGAAGGGGAGTGGGAGCTTTTACTCAGAACTAACAGAAGAGTAAGTAATATTGCACTGTGGTCTACAGCTGCTGTAAGTTTCAGATACACATGCATCTTAAATTGCTGTATGACCTTGTTTAAGGAACCACTTGATATTCTCATTGTGTTTTGGCAGAGGAAAAGCTATATCATTGGTTAAGTTCCAGTAAAACAACTTAGTAAAAGAAGAAAAGCACTTTTCATAATCTTCAAATTGCGCTCCCAGAGAAAAGTCCGCTTAGTATGGGAGTCTGTATTCACTGTCCAATCCCACTCTAGACAATACCAATCAATTTCAAAGTAAGATCAAATTTTAGATTTGTGTAATGAAATACAAGCTCAGTGTTCTAGGTCTTTTCAGTATACCGCTGTAAATGGGAATAACTTTATTAGTCCAGCTGTTCATGCAGTTTAATCTAATCCACTTGCTGACATTTCTCAATGATCGAGAATGTATTAGTCACCAGATCTGGCGTTTTTTTACTGAAATTAGTGAGGCCGCACTCTTTTATTTTTCTGTTTCATGATACTATATTCAAGAGATGCTTTTGAACGGTCAAAGCACAATTATGGTTACCCATCAAGTGTTTCCCCAGATACACCATGTAAATCAGTTTGTTTAAATGTAAAGGAAAGATACTAAATGGGATACAATTTTATGTTTTCATCTCTAAAATTGAATAACATCATAAGACAAAGTTCTCTTTTTAATGGATGTTAAACATGGTTTGTTTGGACAATCTCAATCTGTTTCCTAGATAAGTAAAGTGCACAGACGTCCGCTCTCATATTTTACAACTGGAACAAAGCTCAAATGAAGAAATTAGGTTTCTAATGCAGCTGTAGAGTTTACTAATTTACTTTAAACCTCATAATGAGGGTCTAATATGCCACATGTGTAAACCAAATTTGTTGCATTTATTGCAACTTCCAGTTTGTGACTTCCTGTGGAAAAAATTCACAAGTTGTGAATCCCAAATTCGCAAAAGATGGACAACAAAAGGGTAGTAATCAAAGTGTCAGCTTGCTTCCCACTGGCATTTTGCTTGGTTGCTTTTTTTTCCCACAGACTTTGCTAACTCAACGCTCTCGATTCCTTGGCCTTTAGTTCTACAAACCCGGAATTGCAATTGACAAAATAAATCTGGTTTGTAATATCGCAAATTAGACCCCCCCACCCCATGACAGTGTTCAAGGAGTAGCTTCTGATGACTACTCTTATTTGTTAGACATAAAATGACCCTTTGGTGTATCATTCATTATACATAGCACTGCATTTTGGAAAATTGTGAAATTTAATACGACTCATGATTACCCAAACTTCCTTTTGTAGTATGGTTATTGAAATGTTCTTCTGTTGTGTATTATTTTTACCTGCTGTTAACAGGCTTTGTAAAGATGTAAGTTTATGTGTTTAAAAAGTTTGTAAAAAGTGTACATAGATATAGATTGGGTTGTTTAAATATGGCAGGCTTTTGTAGATATTTTATGCGTTCTTGGATGCCTTGATTTTTTGCTGATTAAGATAAAATGTCAGTCCAAGGCTGAGACTGATTAGTATTAAGGGCATTTACAAAGGACTGTTTCTAAAGAAATAAAACATAAATTGTGTTCAACACAATCCATTGTGTTGTGTTCGATAACCTAAGTGCTGCTTTTCTTGTAGGTAAGGTTTCTCATTCTGGTGAATCGAAGAACCACTCTTCTACATAATGTGTTTGGAATTAGTTGAGAAAACCTAATTTTTCATGTATTTTGTGGTCACACAAGATTATATGCTAAAGATTGTGTTTTGAATAGCTGTAGTGAATGTGTCAAGTCTTGGGGGGTGGGGGGAATGACTATGTAGTGTGAATGGCAAGGTTACTTTTTAAGTGTTAATAATAATAATAATAATAGTACTTGCATTTGATGTAGCGCATTTCACATAAGTAGGATTTCTAAAAGTGCCCACAAAATGCACAGTCACTACACTTTACAGTAAAATCTTTTGAAGCACTTTGAGATGTTCTCTTGACTTGAAAGGCGCTTGATGAAATGGAAGGATTATTATAAAGGGAAGCAGAATGTCAACAGAATTTGATCTGTTCCATGATTCTTTGTGTAATTAGTAGTGTTGGCAGTATTAAAAACTAGTATTTTATGTTGATTCAAATGTTGTCCATTGTACAGATTGATTTTTAACTCCCGCTATATTTCCTAAGTTGATGTAACAATAAAATATGTTTTTAATTAGCCCTCGATTTCTGAATGTCCTTCGTCACTTATCATTAAAAAAAATCTTATTGTGGAATTTATTTTTTAAAATATGGCAGTCTTAATTTCGTAACAGAAAGTGACTCATTAGCAGGACTTGGAAGGGCAGACCAGTCACAGGAGGCTGGAACGCTTCCCACTCAGCTCCCATTAACCCTAAAAAAGTCAAAACTCTAGCGAGTAGGTTGATCCCAGCTGGACGAGCAGGGGAAAAGCTTGTTAGGCATCACTCTCAATGGCAAGCCGAGAAACACCAAGCTGATCAAAAAAAAGCTAAATCCCTACTCAATGTGGGAAAATTCAATCCATGTTCTGGACAATGAAGGAGAAACTATATACTAATATTGTCTTGCATTGCTTGGTGCAAAGCAACTGATGAAACCATTCATATTCATTATTTTTCATTTACAATGGGGAAGGCAATGAGCCAAGCAGGCAATTCTATGGAGACCAGTCCTTTAGAGGAACAGTTTGGCCAGCATCCAAATGATTCATTGCTTGTTTTTCTCCTTCAATTATTAACATGGATTATTATGCAACATTGAGCATTCTTTTACTCTCATTAAAAATATTTACCATTTTTCTTATTATTCTATAATTTGGATATTTGTAAATTTCAAAAATGTAATCCTGATTTATTCCAGGTGCTGGATTTGAATTTTCTGTTCTGGGTTTGCTGTAACTTATAACCAGTGTCCTGCCTGTGAATCAATGAAAATCAATGAAATCAATGAAAATTGCAAAATGTTTGATGACAACATCCAATCTAACAGACTAAATTTGTGTCAGCAGCCACAGACTCACAGAAAGAAAAAGAGAAGCTGCTGTGGGACTGTGCTTGATGCACTTGTCCTTTCCGCACGCACATGGCTGCAATCTCCCCTGCCACACAAACACACACACATTTACATTTCGTTACTCCTTGGCCTTTATTTTTTTCTTTATTACTTTATGTAATGTGTCCTAGCTAACTATCCTGCCTGATCCAAATTCACTGCAATAAAAAATCAAACCAATTGACTGCTCATCACGCTGTTGTTTGCAGACACAACTTAGCCTCCTTAAGAATATTCACTTTATTTCCAATGAATCTTACCTGGGAAATGCTTCACAATGTTTCTTTTATGTGAACATCAGTAGCTAAGGGAGAAGGGAATATAGGGGTATGGGAGAGGGGGAAGGCTCATGTCCGAATGCTCTGTTTCTGTGCTGTAACATTTGATGTAATTCGAAAGTGTTTGATTCTATATGTGAAGTTGTTGCTGAACTAATATGTTGGTTTGTTTAAATTCTGTCACTTTGAGAATGTCCATTGGTATCTAGTTCTGGTATCTCGAATTGACCATCAAAGCTAAGGTGATTGATGCTAATGTTCCTAAAACAAGGAGAAAAAGCACAAGTATCTCTCCACTCATACCACATTATGTTTTTGCAGTAAGAAGTCAAAAGAATCATGGATGAATAGGTTATTTGAAGTAAATTCCAGCTGAACACATTAAGAAATCTCAGAGCCAGCTTCAGGATATTCTATAAGGCAGTTATACTAGATGTCTTGATATCACAAGAATCCATGTGAGATGGTCATTTGACCTTTGACACTCAAGGTGATGCTAGAGCAAAATTCTTTGAATTCACGGATGCACAGAGGAAAGAAAAAATCTTGCATAGCATCTTATCAATTCTCAACATCTCACAACAGTAATTACAGTTACATTTAATGATTCTTTTTGGAGAAAAAGTAGTATCCATTTTGCATGGATCAATATCCTCAAACAATCAGTAAGTGAATGACCATTTTGTCTTGAGGATGGAGTGGGCATCAGTAGCCAAATCCCTTTTTGAGCAATGTTCGTTGATCTTTTCATCCATCTGAAAAACAAGCAGATGGGATCTTTGTTTAATGTCTCATCCAAAGAATAGCACTTCTGGCAGTTCGTCATCCCACCAGTGCAACACTAGAATGTCATCTTAAATTCTGAGTTTAAGTCCCATCTCCACAACAATCCAACCAAAACTAGATTAAATTAGGTTGGGGTCTTTGGGTTATAAGT